GGGTGGGGGTGTGGAGGCGAGAAAGGAAACCGAAAAAAGGTGACGATGGAGAGCATTGTCTAATACGCTAATCTGGGATCACATTAATGTGAGACAATCATATTCGTGGTGAGTGCGGCCCTGTAAAACGGGAGACGTGTAACATAAACTGGTTTGGCAGGAGCAGTTTTCATTGATCCTCATTGTTTCTGCTCTGTCCCTTTGGAAAATGCATTATTATTTGGTATCGGCGATCCTGACTGTACAACAAGCCTTCAGTATTGGAACGGTGTTACCTTTATCGCTTATTACATCATGTGTCACGTGGGGCCTGGTCTGGGGTGGAGATGTTTATAAATTGGCCGCTTTTAAGCGCAAATGGGCTATCCCGAAAAATGCTGTTTTGAGAAAATCGAAGGAAAAGGTTTTGGATCCTTGTTTAGTTTCTTTAAAAGACTCGGAAAGTTTTCTCTATAATCAAATAAATATACACACCGATGAAACTAAACTTCTCCTATAGGTAGGGCAAAGCCCCCTTTTGGGATAGGTCAAGATTTCTCGAAACCCCAGATATCTGTAGTAGCCCGCTAGCCCTTCAAAGCAACCAATTACACAGCCAAAGAAAAAAAATCCATTGAGTGCAGGGCATGAAGGTTCTATAAAGGTAGTTAATATTATGTCTCACTCTTGCAGCATAAGGCTTCACTATCACTTCGATTCTGTGATTCTCTAATCTGAGTACTTCAAAAAATTTGAAACTGGGGTGGAATGCATGCTGGATTTTAACATATTAACTGAATTAAATAGAGGCAAAACGCAGAAAAAGCTGACCTTTTAAAATCATGGAGCTTTCAAAACACAAGTCTATCCAGAAAATAGCAAAGGTTAATTAAGACTTCAAGCAAATCCAATATAATTATCACTTTTATTATTGTTTGCAAGAATTTGATCCTGTTAGCTAGTGAGTTATCATTTACGAGTAGACTTAAGATACGTACTTTCTAGCACACACACACACACACACACACACACACACACACACACACACACACACACACACACACATAGACATACATATGCACATGTACACAAACACAAATTAACAAACACACACGGGAACAAGAAGGGGGGGGGGGTTGCGGTATAATCTGTAGGTTCTTTGAACAACCCTAAAGAATGCAACTCCCATACTTAGGAAGTAAAATCGCCATTAGCATCAACGTTCGAATAGGCCTACATTCTTGTGTAATACTACACATGTATTGCAGAAACTTAATGAGTCTGTAAAGGTATCCTGTATTTCTTTCATCATCATCAATGCCTTTCATCCCTGGCAGGGTATAGGCCACATACAAGCTCCTTCTATTTATCTCTGTCCTGAGCCATCCTTCCAAGCTCGTTCCAAGTGAGCTTCATTTCTCTCATGTCCCTTTCCACGCATCTCCTCCATGTTTCCTGTGGCCTACCCCTGCCTCGAGCTCCTTGTGGATTCCACTGCAGTGACTGTCTTGTTATGTTTCCGCTGGGCTTTCTTAAGTAAGGTGTGTCCCATCCATCGCCACTTTCTTAGTCCTATTTCTACTTCTATATCCTTTTTTCCTGTCCTTTCCCACAGCTTTTCATTTCTTATTCTATCCTGCCACTTAATTTTTAGAATACTCCTCATACATCTGTTGATGAAAGTCTGGACTTTATTCAGTACTGTCTTCGTTGTCTTCCAAGTTTCGCAGCCGTAGAGGAGCACAGTATTTCTTTGCGCCCGCTTTAATCTCTCAGGTCTGCTGGGGTAATAGAATAGATTATGAAGCGCATAGAGCTTGCTGTTGAGTGGGGATTTGCGCTATACAAATGTGAGGCAGCGTGGTGGAATCAGGCTCTAGTCAAAATAATGAAAGTGAAGAAACTTGCATTTTTCCACAGGTTTGTGAATTTTTGTCAAATATTTTAATTTTTTTTTTGGCTCAACACCTTTCATGCCCATTAAAGAACTCATTTCTGTGTGGATTTTTCTGAAAAACATTGAAACAAAAAATGTGAATTTTCAGTTACCATGGACTCTAACTACAGCTAAGGAAATAACTAATCTTTGACAGCCATTTTCTCACTAATTTTACCTCTGAAAACAGGTGACCCCCACCTCCTTCATTCGCAAATATCTCGACTTGTATTCAAGATAAATGGATATTTTTTCCATCCAAGTAAAGACAACTGAGCAAGCTTTAAGATGATACCAATAACTCTAAATGCTCCAAAATTGACGAGAGCCTGATTCCACCACGCTGCCTCACAAACGCTATTTTTTTTTTTTAACACGAACTACGGCGCTAAGTTTCCGACCCAGCTTTCGAAATGGCTCATTTGTGTGTAGTGGGGCATTTTATTGGGGGGGGGGGGGATTATAAAAAGATAAAAAGATGCTGTTATAATATTACTCACAGGACTGGCAAGGTATACGGCCGTACCAACTGCAACACGGCTGGTATTAAGAGCAAGCCTCCTTGCAGGATGCCAAAAGAGCCTATGATGACTGGCAGGTGAGATCTCTGGGAGAGACAAAGGAAAAAAAGGGGGGGGGGGACTATTATAGAAACTTCTTGCTTTTATTTGAGTTACCACCTGACAAAGTCTTTTCTGCTGCCCCTACTTTCTCTGTGCTTATACTGAATCCCAGTACAACTGCTCAACTGAGATGTTTTGTTTGTTTTTGTAAAGTGTTTTACGGCGCTCGCAACTGCATAAGGTCATATGAGCGCACGGGACACACCTAATATTTTCAGTTGGTAGGAAATTTTGAATTTTGAATCGGGTGGCGGCCGAGGCCTACTCTTATCGATTTTAGACCACCAAGGGATCTTTAACGTGCGCAACTTGCACTCGGGCCCTCCGAGATTTTTCGCCCTTGTCCGAGAAGGCTAGGTGTAGATCTTTCCTACCAGAAGATCAGGGGTGTGGCAGAAAGACAGCAGTAAGGAGGAGCCAAGGAGTAGCAGTAGAAAGGCTGCAGAAAGAGTCAGGAGCCCAGAGGAGGGGGCAAAGGAGGTGAGGGGGTGGGGGCAGAAAGTGGAAATGAAAGTAGACAACAGAACATTGCTAGAGAGCAGGAAAGGAGGTGAAAGGAGACAATTTTAAAGAAGAAAATTTTTTGGTCCCTACCCGGATTCGAACCCGGGACCTTTGAATGAGAGGCCAACACCTTAACCTCTAGGCCACGAGAGCCCCCACTGAGCTGTTTGTTTTGTTTGTGTGAGCGAACAGAATGACACTAGCGACACAACAAAAGATGCTGAATTAGTGCTGGGAAAAAGTAAGAGACAGAAACTATAGAGAAAAAAGAAAAAAGTAAGACCTACTAGTGACATAATCCATCAACCTCCAGCAAATTTGGAAATTAAGCTATGCTGTGGCGAACACTCACACATACGAGACTGCTAAGAGTAACGTGGAAGGAAAAGAAATCAAATGAGGTAGTGCTTGATGAAGCTCACGTGGGACGCTCAATGTTAAAAACAATCAGGAAACGACAAATGCAGTTTTTGGGACACCTGAATAGACATAAAGGTCTTGAACATCTAGCTTTCACTGGCAAAATTGAGGGCAAGCGAGTCAGGGGTAGGCCCAGAACAACATACTTGGGGAACCTAAACAAATGGGTAACAGGAAAAGATCAGGGAAACGTAGCTTTTTTGAGAGCATCCGAGCAAAGGAATGAATGGAAAACCATGATCGACGATGTCTGTCGCAGATCTGGCACTGGATGATGATGATGTGGCGAACAAATCTTCCCAAGGGCAGGAATCCACCAGATTCAGCAAACCCAGTCACAGTCTGGGCGCACTGATGGTTCAGCTAGTAGGATGCGGAACAGCTAATTAGACGGCTCCGGTTCGGTTCCTGAACAGAACGCTTTTGAACTTAAGTTTTAGATAGATAGATAGATAGATAGATAGATAAATAGATAGATAGATAGATAGATAGATAGATAGATAGATAGATAGATAGATAGATAGATCTCCCTCCCCCTTTTTTCTCTCCATTCTCTTTTTCTCCCCCTCGTCCTCGATCTGGCCTCCTCCGCCCTATGTATACAGAAGGAGAAAGAGACTCACAGACACGCCTGCGCACACACGCACGCACACACATACACACACATACACACACACAAACACACACACACACACACACACACATACACACACATACACGCACTCACACACGTAGACAGACAGACAGACAGACAGACAGACAGACAGACAGACAGACAGACAGACAGACACACAGACAGGCAGATAGACAGACAGACAGACAGACAGACAGACAGACAGACAGACAGGTGGGGGTTTGTGTATGTAAAAACAACAACCCCAAAACAACAGGAAATACTTTGACCTTAGCGAAATGACCAACAAGGAAGACAGAGCTCATGAAGCCGATTCGTGGACAAGTGTCAAACCATCCCGCTTCGGAGTTGTCAATGTTGAACTGGCGCTCCAGAGAGTTGATCTGCAAAAAAGCAGAGCCAAGTAATAATAATAATAATAATAATAATAATAATAATAATAATAATAATAATAATAATAATAATAATAATAATAATAATAATAATAAGAGCATTTGTATCCCGCCTTTCCCCACAGCATGGGCCCAAGGCGTTCATAAGAGATTGAAAACGCCTTCATATTAACACCATACAAATTCATCATGTGCACACTTTTTGACAACAACATTCTTTCAGACAATAAAAAATGCTCATACAAAAACGATTGGAATGGAATCCCAAAACGTTCAAGTTGATGACACGTTGAAAACATACTGACGATGAATCACGGAGCAAGAAATATTTTTATTGTCATTTGAATCACGTGAGTGGGTGGACTAAAGTGCATCCCAATATATGACATATGAGACTACATAACAGTATACATTTAATTATGTTATATCCGATAATGTTACAATGGATCACACATCAACGGCTCTAAGGTTATATTATAAAAGTTTCAGCATACCTTGATATCCATTTGTTTGACTTCATAACAGTTAGCTATTCTATCTTTCATAGAGTATATCGTGTGTGTATGTGTGTGTGTTGTGTGTTTGTGTGTGTATGTGTGTGTGTTGTGTGGATGTGTGTGTGTGTGTGTGGGTGGGTGTGGGTGGGTGTGTGGGTGTGTGTGGGTGTGAGTGTGTGTGTGAATTATTTTTAATTTAACAAACAAATTTGCGGTTAGGCTGTTTACATCGGCATCCATGTAATATGTTCTACTTACCTTACAATTAAAATACAAAATGTGAAGCAGCGTGGTGGAATCAGGCTCTCGTCAAAATAACCAAAGTGAAGAAACTTGCATTTTTCCGCAGGTTTGTGAATTCTTATAAAATTTTTGTTTTTTGGCTCAAAACCTTTCATGCCCATTAAAGAACTCATTTTAGAGGGATTTTTCTTAAAAACATTGATTAAAGGAACAAAAACTAAATTTTCAGTTACCACGGACTCTTAAGCTAAGGAAATAACTAGTCTTTGGCGGCCATTTTCTCACTTATTTTTCTCTGAGAACAGGTGACCCCCACCTCCTTCTTTCATAAATATCTCGATTTGCATTCAAGATAAATGGATAGCTTTTTCATCCAAATAAAGACACGTGAAGAAGCTTTAAGATGATACCAATAACTCTACATGCCCAAAAATTGACGAGAGCCTGATTCCACCACGCTGCCTTACAAATACTGTGCACAAATTTTGTTTTCCCCAGGATCTGTACCTTACCTGTTACATGGAGGCTATTTGCTTTCTATTCCCCAACCCACCTTCTCATCTTTTCTGGATTCTCTCTCTCTCTCTCTCTCTCCCTCTCTCTCTCTCTCTCTCTCTCTCTCTCTCTCTCTCTCTCTCTCTCTCTCTTTCTCTCTCTCTTTTTTCCTCTGTCTCTTTGTCCCTCCGTCTCTCTGCCCCTCCGTCTCTCTCTCTCGTTCTCTCTCTTTCTCTGTTTCTCTGTCCCCCTGTCTCTCTGCCCCTCCGTCTCTCAATCTTTATCTCTTTTTCTCTATCGCTCTGTCTCTCTCCGTGCGACTCTGTCTCCCGTTCTCCATCTCCCTGTCTTTCTGACTCCCTCTCTCACCCCCCCCCCCTCTCTCTGTCTCTCTCTCTTTCTCT